AGAAGTCCTTTAAGCTTTGTCTTCTCATTCAAACTCATGCTAAACATCTCTATGGTCACGTAACTGACATTATAATATGCTGCTATCATACCCAGATTAAGTGGGGATACCTCCAATTCATCCTCGAGCGCGATGCATTTTGATGACGCAAGATCATTTATTGTCGTTTCAACCAGTTCTGACAAGTGATCTGAAAGGTGTCTGTGATCTGAGCCTTGCATTCCATAATAATTTGGATTTTCAACCATTCGTCGGTACAGGAACGTCCATGTGAGATAATCCACTGCGTCCTGTTTATTCTCAACAGTCTTTGTTACGATTTCAGCATTAAAGTGATCATGAAGGAAATGATCAAGATGTGATTCCACGGGTAAGGCTTCGTACAAAAACTTTTTATAGAAATCCCTTTTAATGGCTTGACACATTAGCACGCAACGGCCGGTCTCATCCTCTTGTGGACGGCATGCTCGACCCATCATTTGTAGAACATCAGTTATTTGATAATCTGCATATCTATGCTCTTTACCCTCAAAGTACTGGGTGCCCATGATGACGACCATGTGACAGCTCAAATTTAGTCCCCAACATGTGTCCCTCGATGCAACAACTATACGTATTGATCCCATTTCAAATAGCTTTTCCACTATTAGTTTATCAAGTGGGCTAAGTGCTTCGTGGTAAAAGCCAATACCGTGCGAAAGTGTGTCTCTCAAATACTCGTCACTGACCTTTTGTATTTCTTTCAAAAAATCTTCATCTAAGTTTCCTTCAGCATCTCTAAGTGTTGATTTAAGAAAACGATCTTGCATTCCATCCGCGGTACAAAGCGTTTCTAAATTAATGGCAGTCAATTTGCATTGGCTACGTGATGGCACAAACACTATGGCAGGTTTGTCAAATGAGTATGTTGTGATGGCAATAAAAGTGGGCTTAGCCATAGCAATCATCAACGATTCAAAATGAGGAATGTTATAACTCTGGATATGGATTTCCAGGGGTACGGGACGAACGCTTGGGTGAAAATTGAAAATAGTGTGAGGTGTTGTTCCTATCCATTCTCCAAGGTCTTGGGCATTGGCTAACGATGTGCTCAGACAAACAATGCGTATTTGATTTTTTGTCTGATGAGCAATGTAACGCATGCGTGACACAATTACTTCGTAAGTTGGCCCAACATCACTACCGATGAGATGCAATTCATCGGCAATAAACAAAGAAACATTTTGAACATTCTTGCGTTGCTTCCATCGACGGGACATGACATCCCATTGCGTAGGTGTGGCAAATATAACATCTCCAATTTCTAGCAAGCGAAGATCGGCACTGGTTTCTCCTGTAAGCGACACAATATTTTTCCCGCCTTGTAGTGCACTAAATTTTTTTGTCCATTCGGCCTTTAAACGATCAACGACCTCTTGGAATGGCGCAATGTAAACACATCGACCTTGTTCTGGCCTAGACCATAGGCGAAGAAGAGAAAATTCCGCGCAAATAGTCTTTCCACTTCCAGTAGGTGCTCCAACAAAAACGTTATCATCCGTGTTATATAAAGCGTTGAATACTTGAGTTTGAATAGGATTGAAATTTTCAATCCATCGTTTATATATATCCTCGTATTCAGGATTTCGCAATGCAGAAACTGGCAAAGGCTGAAGATCAAGCAATTCCGTGTGAGGTGGGTACTTCTTGGGGAGGATCAGGTGTCTGAAAGATACTGGCAATTTGGTCTCACAATGCAACCAACGATCAGAAATTATGGAAATGAAATAATTAGGTGGTAAAGGCTCAAAAAGAGGCACTGTAAATGTTATTATGTGATCCTCCTCGGCATACCTCTGCTTCAGAATAAAGGAATCATGATACAAGATGACTTCACCATCTACATCCTCAACTAATACCCAGAACGCCTCGGCTGTTCCATGAACTTTCTCTTCCCATTGGAAGTCAGGTGTGATCTTAAGTTCAACTCGCAACAATGATCGGGTTATAGGTTGTACAAAAGTCTGCAGCTCCAATTTGGGAAATTGATGAACGTATTTATGAATCATTTTGCCAGCTTTGGGGACACCAACAAGTTCACCTATTTCTTGCGGATTCAAATCAAAATATCTCTCCCATGGAAAGTCTTTCTTTTCAATCCTTTTTATCAAGTCTGAAGCCATCATCTTGAATTGACGCAAAGGAGACATAGAGAGCCACATGCGTTTCTCTACCATTTTACAAAGGTCCAAAGCCCTTCGTGAAAGCTGAGCCCAACCACGTTTCAAGCATATTTCAAAAATGGCTCGAAGAATTCGACTTGCTGATTGAGTTACATACACCATATCAGAAACAAGCGCGAACCCCTCTAACTTAAGCTGGGAAATGTAGGATTGCAAAAGAACATTGATCTTTGAAGTTGACTCTTCAATACCTTCCTTGACTGGGACAGGTACACGTTCGAGTAATTTCGATAGCTCAAGCTTTTCCTCTTCTCGCACAGGAATATACTTGAATTCGTCTGATAGAGCAAATACACGGAATAATTCGATATGACCCATCACCGGTTTCAAATGTTGATTATATGTTGCCATGGATGTGTGCGTGATATAGAAATGAGAAGAGATGCGACCCAATTCAGTGACTTGAAATCTACCTGTCTTCTTATCGTACTTAATCAAATTTGATTTGTCCAAAAGTATTGCAGCCGAGTGTATCAAATCGACTCGCTTTTGTACAAGATATTCATCCTCTTCTAATTGATCAATTGTAACACCGTAAAGAGTTGGATTGCGTAACATACGTACAAATAAATATGAATAACCTAACCACTCGACCGCTTCATCGCGATTTCGCACAGTTCCTAATACTATTTCCGCATTTAGGTTGTCAGGCAGTTTGCTGATGAATTGACTTTCAATAGGTAATTGTTGGTTCAGCAGCGACAAATAATATTGCAGTTCAGTGTGCGAAGTTATTATGATACCTTCACCGAATGTGTCAAACTGAGGACGACCAGCACGACCCAACATCTGAAGAACATCTTGTGGACTCAATTCAACCCATCGACCCTTTTCGGGTGAATATATCTGGGTACCTTTTATTATAACGGAATGAGCAGGCAGATTGACACCCCAGGCTAAGGTTGCTGTAGAAAACAGGACTTGAATATGTCCGTCTGCAAATAATTCCTCTACCAATGTTCGGTCTGCACGAGTCATTCCAGCATGGTGGATGGCGAATCCATAAGGCAACAGATCTTGAAGGTTGGCGTCCTTAACAGTAGAAGATTCTGTTTGCAATATTTCCCGACTCGCCGAGTCTTCCCTGAGAAATTGTCCGATCGTGTCTTTTTCCAGTGCCATGTCTCTAATAGTCTTTGCTGT